GTTCGCACTGGATACCGACGCAGCTCGGAGCACCCTGAAACTGGAGTAGTGAGTCTCCCCATTGTTGCCAAACTGAAGACCTTCTCGTCAAAACGGATGTAAAGTGGATTATTTTTCCTACAAAATTGGCTACCCAAGGTTTTTCCTTCCTTCCCATCTCAATTTAATTCGTTTTCGGTTGAAAGACGTGAGTCCAAGGCAGAGGTATCGATAAGGGTTGTTTTTGGGCCGGCCGGACTGACTTTCCTCAACTTTAACATTTTTTGCTCGTTGAAAATCTATAGATTTTACGAACTGAATCATAATTTGGTCATATCCAGTCTCAAATTGGTTCTAATATACTGCCCTAAATATGGGTCCGAGGCCGAGGGTCGATTTCGGCGAAAAAGGCGAATTTTTTGGCATTTTACCGCAAACCCACGACATACTCACTTTCAGTTTTTTTTTATTTTTTAAGTATTATCGTCCATATACAGGGGCAAGTTTTAATCCTGATATGTTTACTAAAAATTTGACGGTGTCATTGATTTGTAAAATCTATGTAGCTTTGAAATTGAAACACCGAGCTGGTAGAAGAGTACGCACTTTACTGATGCATCTTCCCCAGTGCTTGAAGAGGATGGCCAATAAGAACAATAACAAGTTAACCAACTTGTTATTACGATTTGGGGATTTGGCACTCAAGTTTAAAACCTGAGTAAGGAGAATTTTCTATATGATTTTCATGATGGAATGGCTCTTCAAATATGCTGATTTTTTCTTAACGCCTTTTGAGGGTTCGTGTATCAGACCGCAGAGAAAATTAAGTGGATGGATTCTCTTCAAGGGGTAAAAGTTAAGCAGGAAAAAAAAGGGCAAACATTGAAATGGTTTCATTTTAATTTTTTTATTTCTGGTTTCCAGATCAATTAGTTCGATAAATTGTCGTGAAGTAGGGTGAAAAAAATATATATTCGAGCGGGCATATTTGGATTCATAAATGCAGTCCCTATTGGCGATTCACTTGGAGCAACATTGTTTTTCTTGCGGGAACGCCTACACGATATCGGAGGAACGTTTGCACAAGATATTCAATCGCGAGGCTTGCTCATTGTTTTTTATGAGAAAACTTTCAGAAATTCTACCATCCTTGGTAATTCGTGCTTGGGAAAATTCAAGTCGAGAGTAGGCCGAGAATAATAAAAAAGAGAAGCAAGGAAATGGATGAAACGTGGTGTGAATGGAAGATATCAATTCTATTCGAGCAGGGTCGGTTTTTCAATTTTTTGTGTGCTCCAGTGACATTTTTCAACGTGGCAATCCACCTCTGCTATATTTTAATGGCAAACATGTATGCTTTTTTTGTATTAGTAAGTTGAGAGCATACTGTATTAAGAGCATAGTTATACTTACATGGTAACTTTTCAAGTTGGAGATAACAGAAATGATAAAAAGTAATGCTTTAGAGACTAAAGTCATAGCAATTTTGCAAGGATGGTCCAATATTTTTTTGTCTCAAGTCGCCAACTGTGCATTTGTTTCGTATTACATGGAGTTCTTGTCAAATATTTTGGTCGGCTTTCAGAATGAGACGAAAGATCGGCCGTCTTGAGTTTACCTTTAAAATCATGCACAAATCAATATAGCAGTAATGTTATCTCACTCTGCCGCCCACTATGAGAAAATGTGGTTGCACAGTGAACACTCGAGTATCTCAATCAATGGGATTTGGCCATGATGCGGCGATGAAAATAACGCCTGCAGAGATACAACTATTCCTGCTTTAGGGATTTGCGTGTCGTATACCCAAACATATGAAGGCGCTCCGACTTTTCTTGTCCTTCCAGTTGACAGGGGTTTATTTCGATCCGTGTATCCAACATTCGCCTAATAATTTTTAAAAAGAGGTTGTTCCATCCCCCATTAGATTTGGCCCCCTATCAGATATGATCCATCTTTTCAGGAGTGATACAGTAGCATGCGAGACGTTCAAATATGGCGGCCATTTTGACTTAGGCCCCCCCAGAGAGGGGGGGCGGGGGGTCAAAGTCAAAACCTTCAACTGCCTATAACTTTTGAGCGAAAAATCGGATTGAGTTGAACTTTTTTT